TATATATATATATATATATATATATAGGTCTGGACACTTTTAGATCAGTGTAAAAATACTTGTAATTGCTTCAACATGAAAGTGTTAATGAACAAGCAAAATAATAGTTTCCCTTCAGTTATATGGGCAATTCTTGGTTATTTGTTGTTGTTGTTTTTTTTAAAGATGAGATGTTTCAACTCACTAGGTAGACCAGACCAGGAAATCAACTCCACCGGAAGGCTAGAACTCCTTTTATTGGGATTGTCTGTAATAACAGAATCCTGCAAGTCTTATTGTGTTGTACTTCCTCCTCCTCTTCCTCACACTCCAGCGAATTAGGGAGGTGTCTGTCTGAGATGCTTCCAAATGTTATCTGGACATTCTGGACTTTAAAAAAATGCTTCAGCCCCTTTGCTAGCACCTGCATATCTCTATCCAAGTCATCTTCCTCACTCTCTACAAAATGTTTAAGAATCCAAACTTTCCATTATATCGGAAATTATGAACATCGCAAAGCACTGTCACTACCTGTTTCACAGCAAAAACTAATTCTGCTCTAATAATTGCAAGTAAGCAAGCCTGGTATTTTCAAAGGTATCTGTTTCATAATATAATTGGTTTTAAAGAGCATCTTGTTTTCAAACAGACACACTTAAAATACATTGCTAATTGTTGTCCCAGTACAAGATTATATTGTAAACATATGCCCACCACTTGCCTTATTACGATCAGATTCATAGAGCCAACTGTCAGCTAAATAAATCATGGTAGGCCAGTGCTAAAAGCCTGAGAACTACAGCAAGAAACTGTTTTACTGGCCTTCTGAAAAGCCTTCATAAATTGATCGGTCCAGCTTCTTTTGGAACCAGATTCTACGAGCATGAAACCATATCAAAAAGCCTTGTTTATATTACAGGTCATCCTAGTTGAGGCTAGTGATGATGACGCGTGAAAGAAAATATTGTGGTTTTTTTCTTCTCCATGGTGTCTGTAAGCATGGTCTCTGTAACCGCACAGCTATAGGTAGTGCACCTGTGCAGAACCCATATCAGAACTTTCTAGAACAACAGAGGACTTTAAATGGGAATCACAATTCTGTTGTGCTCCTGGGCATAGTTTTCGCCTGTTTTCTCATTTCTGTAGACCAATGTTTCTCAACCTTGGGAACTTTCAGATGGGCAATTCTGGGAGTTGAAGTCCATGCATCTTAAAGTTCCCAAGGTTGAGAAATACTGCTGTAGACTATCAAAGAGCACATAGGATAACACCGATGCTGTTCTTGACAGATCTATCCTGCCTTCTGCTAATCCTCACGTAAGTTTAGAGGATGTCATAACGTCTTTCCAGGACTTCATATCAGACCAACTGAGACATGGTTCCCAAATTTTGTCCCCTTCTAAATTAGGGATGTTTGTTCTTCTCCAGTTGTCTGGAACTTCATGATTTCTGAAAGATGAGCAGAAAGAGTTGGCTAAATTCTTTATACTCTAATTAGCAATTAATATGGCTCTGGAGATTTAAATTTCCAGATCAAATTTTTACTAATCTCTGGCTTCAGTCTGCCTATTCATCCTGCTCTTCACAGAAACACATAACCTTTTCTCAGAACATTAAGCCAATATAAGAGTTGAGTATTCTGCCATTTCTTTGTCATCTTTTAAAATTTTGCAATTTCCATGGGGAAGGGACATTATTTTGACACATACTAGCTCTCTCCAAAA